TATATATATATATATATATGCAATTAGAATATAATATATTCATTTTCTGATACATTGTTTTCTTTACTCCCCTTAAGATAAACTGCTCAGGTTAGCATCCTATGACACTTTATGTGTATTTATCATCTAATTTTTCACCTCATTACAGCTGGATAGGCTGCAAAACCATAAAGATGTCACTTGTGGTGGGTGGATTACAGTTAATTAAAAGCCATCAAACAATGTCAACATTATTCAGTCTACTGAAAATTATTAAATGCCAAGTCTGTAATGGTAATTTTGAAAGTAAATGGTTTAGATAGATAGACAGATAGATAGATAGATAGATAGATAGATAGATAGAGGCTGTCTTAAGCAAAACAAATGTTGCTGCCCTATTTGCTCCAGGCTTTAATCAATGTAGGGACAGATACAGTATAGTATTCGGAATACAGGTTTATATTATTATTATTATTATTATTATTATTGCCATTTATATAGTGCTGACAGATTCTGTAGCGCTTTACAATATAATGAGAAGGGGGATTTAACCATAAATAGGACAATTACAAGAAAACTTACAGGAATCATAGGTTGAAGAGGACCCTGCTCAAACAAGCTTACAGTCTATAGGAAGTGGGGTATAAAACACATTAGGACATTAATCCTAACACTATAATGTTCCTTTAATAGTATTGCTTTGTTTTTTTTATTAAAATGGTCCTTTCTGTCCAAATGCAGTCACTGATACACACATACACACACTCACTCACTCACACACACACACTCATTCCCTCACTTACACTCAATGGTTCAGACAATCACAATCTGTGACCAATGCACACACAAATTAACTGACTCATGCAGAGTGACAGACACACTGACTCAAGCAGACATACACTGACTCATGTAGAGTGACACCCACTGGCCCAACTAGACACACACACACACACACACACAAACGCTGGCTGAAGCAGAGGCACACACACTGGCCCAAGCAAGCAGACAGACACACACACACACACACATTGACCCAAGAAGACACACACACACTGACTCAAACAGACACATACACACACACACACACATTGAGCCAAGCAAACACACACACACACACACATACACTGATCCAGACACACACACACTGACCCAAGTAGACACACACACACATGCTGGCCCAAGCAGAGGCACACACACACACTGGCCCAAGCAAGCAGACAAACACACACACATTGACCCAAGAAGACACACACACTGACTCAAGCAGACACACACTGACCCAAGCAAACACACACACACTGATCCAGACACAAACACACTGATCCAAGCAGACACACACACACACAAACTGACCCAGGCAGACACATACACACTGACCCAAGCTGACACACACACATTGACCCAATTAGACACACAGACTGACTCAAACAGACACACACACACTGACCCAAGCAAACACATGCACACACTGACCCAAGCAGACACACACACACAAACTGACCCAAGCAGACACACACTGACTCACACACAAACACACACTAACCTAAGCAGACACACATGTACACACTGATCCAGACACATACAATGACCCAAGGAGGCACACACACACTGACTCAAGCAGACGCAAACTTACTCACTGAAACAGACTGACACACATTCTTTAAAACACACACACTATTTAGTCCACCTCTTGCCTGCACTTCACATTGTCTTTCCGTGTGTTCCATAGTTCTGGACTTCACCTGGCTGCCTCCACTCTCTCAGTTCCACCCCCACTATGCTCCCACCCACTTAACTTTGAGTACAGGGCAAAGGGCAGGAGCGATTGAACAATGCAACCTCATTCTGCTGTTATATTTGAATGGAGGGCAGCTCTGTGAACTTTGAGGTTGATGCTAAGCCGAGGAATGCCTTTGGGGTACCTCAAGCCTGTTTTTTATACTCTGTGCACGACAAAAATACGAAATAAATTTATTTATTTTTAAACTTTGAGGTTGATGGCACCGGGCACCGGGCACCGGGCACTGGGCGGTAAGTGCTCCTTAGAGACCGGTGGTATGACCTGCAGCATGAACTACAGACTTTGTCCCATATAGAGGGGCAACCCAAATAAACATTTAAAGCTGCTGCCTGTTCGCGAAAAAAGCACCCTAGGCTGCCATCTAATCGGCCTATAGGACGCGCCGGCCCTTGGCTACCCCGAGTCACTAAACAAATAAATATGATATATTATAGATTTTTGGCAAACACTTAGTTAAGTTTATTTAATTTTTTATCCTCAGGTGTGTTTGGTAATATTGTTATTATTATTATTATTATTGTTATTATTATTATCATCATTATTATCATTATGATAATTATTATATTATTATTATTATCATCATTAGTATATATACTGTACCAACATATGATTACAGGTACATATGATTGGTGAAAACCATGTAATATCACTGTATAACATACATATATAGTGTAATAAACAGACCAGAACTAACGGAATAGAGTACTCTGCTTATATGCTGAGATATATTCTTAATATCATTTCTTGCTATGCTGCTTAGAAAGGTAACATATAAGTTTACAATTTAAAGTCTGTAATGTGGGGTTGAAACAGGACAAGTTGAAATTCTGCCATTGAGCTTTAAGGGGAATTTATAGAAAACTGTTAAATTGCGAAGTGATTGAGTAGGTAATTGGGAAAGATATTAATCACCTTGAGATACTTGCTATAAAATTAGGCTGCAAATAGGGAGGGTGGGGAGAGGGCAGGCACGTGCCATAGTTTTTGGTGAAAAAGAATTTTGTGACTTGATGGTTAAAAATAAAGCAACTTTATCATTCTAAATAAAATGTATGCGAGCCACTCTGACTGATGTTTATGTCTATTTGCGTTCTTGCATTTTGCTGTATCATACTTTGGCATTATGTAATTTACTTTTTTTTGTTGTTGTTTTATGCACTGATCCATATATCCACAGAAATACAAAAAATATCTAATTTCATGTGTAGCAAAACAAACAGGCAAGGTATCTCACGCATTCTATTGATATGGGCAGGGCCAGTATTTAGGTAGGGCAACCAATTCAGTCATCCGTGCCATGTTGAGCAATGGATCAGTGTGACTGAGTGCTGCTGCACACCTGTGTTGTCTTGTTTCTTGTGAGTCGTGACTAATGATGTAGTGGCAAGACTGCTCCACTCTACAGGTGGTGGGTGGCCAATCCGATCCCTCTACTCATGAAAGTCATGCCATAAAAAACACTGAACATTTTCAAAAAGAAAGCAAATATCACAGCTCCACTAGGGATTAGCTAAAAAGGGATGTTCAGGAAGAGGAAGTTTGCGGTGGATCTTAATTGTTTTTACCCAACTAAATTTGACTAAATTCATGTTATATACGGCAATGCCAAACTGAGGAACGTTAGCCATTATAATGATGAAGAAATTGATGCCACCAATGTTAAAAAATGGTGTCACTAAACTTTGTGGAAAGCAAAATGTATAAGTATAATAAAACTATTGAACTTTTCAAATCACAAGTTATAGGATGGAAAAGAAAATCAAAATCATAAAGGTGTTATGTAATGTTATGTAATGTTATTAAGTACACGAAAAGGAAGGGTTTGTAAAATGTAAAAAACTAAATAAATCTAATTTCCAGTAAGATACTCCTTAAAACAATCAAATAAATGAACACATATTTATCCATCATTATCAAATTAAAAGATATATTTTTTTGTTTATTTCCACTAAACAAAAACTTTTATTCAGCTGAGAATAAAAGTGTTTTTTTTGCTGAACATTTAAAGCAGCTCTGTCAAGCAAAATTTAAATTTCTTCCATTGTCTCCTCTTCTCTTTCACTTTTGGAATATGTTCTTCTTTTCTTAATTTCTGCTCAATTTTTCTTAAAACACGTTAGGTAAATTAGGGACTATTTTTTATTGTATACTTTGACTACTTATGTATTTTTTTCTCTGCTTAACAAATCTTGACCAATGGTGGAGCTTAAGGCAAGATTCACTTCCTTATTTAAGTTTTGTCAATTACCATTTTCCCATAATAGCCACCTGCCTGTCTCATCCCTTGTCTATGATTTCGCCATCTATCTTCTGCATCTCAGAACCTTGCGCATGCACAGTACATGCATTTTGTCTTCCCGGGCATTAACGTCAACACATACAAGATCAGAAATAGGGGGAAAGATGATCAGAAGATGGCAGTAAAACCACGTCACTGCCAGATGTCTGAAGATGGCATCATATAAGATCAGAGGCCAAAAACAAAAAGTTTTATTCAGTTAAAAACAGGGAACCTGTCCCAAAAGAAATTTGTTGGGGCAATAGAAAGATAAATAGGTTTTGGGGGACAATAAAAAAGAAAACACCTATCCCCTGTGACAGATTCACTTTAATAAAACTTACTATTTATATTTAACAGTTGAAAAGGAAAAAAAAATGAACTGCACTTAGTCACCCAAAATCGGTACCACATAGCTAAAGAATTTATCCTTAAGCAATTTAAGCAATTTTCAGACTGAATATAGAAATGTATGAATGTATGTGTGATGTGGGTCTTCATTTTTAGCACTCAAACTTGGAAAAATTATCCATCTAGCTTTGTAAATTACTGCAATTACATTATTTGTACTATATTATCTATTTCACATGTTTCTCCATGTTGTGAAGAAACTGCATTTAAATTTTCATCTGGCTCATTATATCCTACAAAACATCTTAAAGGCTAGCTATCATATACATCACGTCAACTTAAAGCACATAACATGCCATAATAGCAAATAATTAGGTTTTAATTTAACACACTTTAGAAATATTGTTCCCACCATATAAATCAATCCTCAAAATGAGACCTGTATGCATGTGGCACAGAGAGTCTGAGCCAAGGATTGAGAGACAGGTTACATGCAGTGGTGTATCCTGGTTTTGTGCTGCCCTAGGCAGGACAAAACTCAGGCGCCCCCATCCCCCCCGCGCCACCCCCACCCAACCCTTCCCCCCACCTCACCTTCTAAATACACACACACACAGTCAGACACAAACACACACACACACACACAGTCAGACACATACACAAACACACACACACACAGTCAGACACAAACACACACACACAGTCAGACACACACACAACACACACACACACAGTCAGACACATACACAGTCAGACACAAACACACACACACACACACACAGTCAGACACACACACACACACACACACATACACAGTCAGACACAAACACACACACACAGTCAGACATTAAACACACACACAGCCCACACACACACACACAGCCAGACATACACAGACACAAACAGCTCCAGACACAAACACACACACACACAGTCAGACACATACACACAGACACAAACACAGTCAGACACAAACACACACACACACAATAGAAATCAGACATACACAGACACAAACACACACTCACAAACACACAGTCAGACACACACACACAGTCAGACACATACACAGACACAAACACACACTCACAAACACACACAGTCAGACACAAACACACACACACATTAACTTTATTTAAATCCCCCCCCAACCTCCTTACCTTTGGGAGTGCTGGGGGGGGGGGGTCTCTCTCCCTGGTGGTCCAGTGGCTGCAGGGCGGGCGGCGCTGGCGGGCAGGCGGGCGGCGAGGGAGCACTTCCCATGAGTTGACTGCTCAGCTCCCTCGCGCGTCGGCTGCAGAGTGAGGCTGGGAACCGGAAGATGACGTCATCTTCCGGCTCCCAGCCTCACTTTATGGGTGCGCCGAGGGAGAGCAGTCAGCTCATGGGAAGTGCTCCCTCGCCGGCCGCCCGCCCGCCCGCTCGCTCGCTCAGGATGTCAGTTAGCCACAAGGCTAACAAGGCATCTGCCCTGGGCATTTGGGGGGCGGCGTTTTTTGCCGCCCCCTGAAAAATGCCGCCCAAGGCAAATGCCTTGTTTGCCTCGCGGCTAATACGTCCCTGGTTACATGGATTGGAAGGGTTAATGTGACATGCTGAGCGTGGCATGGTTGGGGGTTGTATCACAGGGTTGGGGTTGTGGCATGGTTGAAGGAGGAAGTGTGACAGAACAAGGGGAGGTGAGAAACAGAATTAAGGGGGTTAAAGTGACAGGATGAGTGTGGCATGACTGGGGAGGTAAGTATCGCAGGGTTGGGGTAAGTGTGACATGGTTGGAGGAGGGAGTGTGACAGGGTGAGGGGAGGTGAGTATGACAGGATTAAAGGTGGTTAATGTGACAGGGTGAGTGTGACAGGAATAGAGGTGTTAATGTGACAAGGTGAGTGTGGCAGGGTTGGGGGGGAGAAAGAGTGACAGGATGCGGTGAGTGTGGCACGCTTGGAGGTCAGGATTGGAGGGGTTAATGTGAGAGGTAAGTGTGGCAGGGTGATATATGATGAGTGTGACTGATCATGCAAGAGAAGGTGAGTGTTACATGTTTTAGGGGGATTAAATGTGATAGGATGAGTGTGTCAAAGCGAAGGGAGGTGAGTTTGGTGTGGTTGGATTGTGCCGGGAAGGGGGGGTGACATGGTGGGAAGGAGGGTGGGTGACATTGTGTGGAGGAGGGGGGTGACATGGAGAGAAGGAGGGGGTGACATGGTGTGGAAGAGGGGTGACAAGGTGGGAAGGAGGGGGTGACATGGTGTTGAGGATGGGGGGTGACATGGTGTTGAGGATGGGGGGGTGACATGGTGTTGAGGAGGGGGTGACATGGTGGGAAGGAGGGGGGGTGACATGGTGTGGGGAGGCTGTTCCTTCAAATACCTTTACTTTCTTTTAATGAATTCCCTGGTGGTCCAGTGGATTATCTCACTGATGGTCCAGTGGGCTCCCTATCCGGTCTGCAGCTCCTTACACCCGGTGGCATAGAGGGCAAGCCGATGGGCTCCCTCCCAGTGTCGGGCTGTCAGTCATGGATAGAGGACCCATCAGGCGGCCGCGAGGCCGGGGGCGGTGGGACAGCTGCTGCCCCGGGGCCTAACCCCGGTGAGGCTCGACGCGATGGAACCCTGGCTAAGCCGCTACGGTAATAAGGGGGACGCGGAGCTGCTTAGGTCGGGGTTTGGACAGGGGTTCTTCATCCCCTTCCGGGCGAGGGGGGGTTCGGTTTGTACGCGTAATCTGAAATCGGTGAGGGAATTTCCGGATGTGGTCCGGGAGAAGCTTAGTAAGGAGGTGCGGTTGGGCAGGATGGCAGGTCCATTCTCAGCACCGCCGCTTGAGGGCCTTAGGGTGTCACCACTAGGGGTGGTTCCCAAGAAGGAGATCGGGAAGTTTCAGCTCATTCATCACCTGTCCTATCCTAGGGGAGCGTCGGTGAATGACGATATCGATGGGGACTTGTGCTCGGTCTCTTATGCATCATTCGACCAGGCGGTCGAGCTGGTTAAGAGGGCCGGGCGTGGGGCTTTACTGGCCAAGGTGGATATCGAAGCTGCTTTTCGCTTGCTTCCGGTTCATCCGGCTTGTCACCATCTATTGGGGTGCTTCTTCGACGGAGGTTACTTCGTCGACTTATGTCTCCCGATGGGCTGCTCCATTTCGTGCTCCTATTTTGAGAAGTTCAGTACCTTTCTCGAATGGATGGTGCGGGTGGAGTCGGGGAACGAAGCGGTGGTGCATTATTTGGATGACTTCCTCTGCGTGGGGCTGGCGGGTTCTCCCGCCTGCCGGCACCTGTTGCGGACAGTTGAGTGGGTGGCGGGCCACTTCGGGGTGCCATTGGCGGCGGACAAGACTGAGGGCCCGACCGAGTGCCTCAGCTTTCTGGGTTTGGAGATAGATTCGGTGCTTGGGGAATGTCGGCTGCCTCTGGCAAAGTTGGGCGGACTGCGCAGTGCGGTGACCGTGGTGCAGCAGGCACGTAAGGTGACCCTGCGGCAGCTACAATCGTTGATCGGGATGCTCAATTTTGCCTGCAGGGTGATACCTATGGGTAGGGTGTTCAGTCGCAGCCTGTCGGCAGCCACCGCAGGGGTCGGTTCTCCACACCATTTCATTCGGGTCTCTTCCTCGATGAGGGCTGACCTGGACGTCTGGAAGGTCTTTTTGCAAGACTTTAACGGGACGGTGTTCTTCCGGCAGGAGGGTGTGTCCACGGCCGAATTGGAGCTGTTCACCGACGCATCGGGTAGCGTGGGTTTCGGGGCCTACTTCGGGGGGAGATGGTGTGCTCAGAGGTGGCCGGAGGCGTGGGGGCGAAGCCCCCTCATACGGAACTTGGCTTTCCTGGAGCTGTTCCCGTTGGTGGTGGCATTGGCCCTGTGGGGGGATCGGCTCCGCGACCGCAAAGTGGTCTTTTTCTCGGACAATATGTCGGTGGTGCACGCCGTCAATAACCAGTCGGCAGCATCCAAACCGGTGGTGAAGCTATTGCGACGATTTGTTTTGCTGTGCATGTCCCTTAATGTAGTTTTTCGCGCGCGGCCAGGCTCAGGAGACAGGCCAGGCGTGCCCGGACGAAATGTGGCACCTCGGAGCATCATGCTTGGGGGACTTGTGAGGGCTTCGCTGGCACCAGCCACCTGGACCGCATACAGTAAGGTTTGGGGTGCCTGGGAACGTTCCTGGGAGAGGCTGGGCCAGGGGCCGCAGGTGGAATCATCGCAGGACGCCTTCCTGTGGTTTATTTTTCATTTGCTGGCAAAAGGTGTGTCCCCTGCAATGGTTGATAGGACCATGGCGGCGATGGCCTTTTGGTTTAAATTCGACGGGTGGGAGGACCTCATGAAAGCGTTTGTCATTAGGCAAGCTCTCAAAGGGTATCGGAGGGGCCGGAGGGCACCGGATGCTAGGCGCCCGGTCTCGGTTTGGGTGCTTGGGAACTTACTCCGAGTGCTGCCCGGCATCTGCTTCGACGGGTTTGAGGTAGCCCTGTTCAGGGCAGCTTTTCTCTTGACCTTCTTTGGGGCATTCCGAATAGGGGAATTGGTGAGCGCTACTCGGTCAGAGTCGGGGGGTCTGCAGGTATCCGGTGTTCGCATGCTCGCAGGGAACCTGGTAGTATACCTGGCTACGTCCAAAACGGACGTCATGGGTAAGGGCCGGGATGTGACGCTGGGTCCCCTGCCCGGGTCATCGCTGTGCCCGGTTGCGGCAGTGGCTCGGTTCTTGGAACTGAGACCGGCAGTTGGGGGGTCTTTATTGGTTCATGCCGATGGCTCCTCGCTCTCTCGTTTTCAATTTACTAAGGTGTTCCGATCGGGCCTGGGGGCGTTGGGGTTGAGTGCTGCTGCCTATGGGACTCATTCCTTTCGCATAGGGGCGGCCACTGAGGCCGCGCGCCTGGGCATGGGGGACGAGTTAGTCAAGAAGATTGGGAGATGGGAATCCACTCGGTTCCGCACGTATGTGCGCTTGGGTTTGTTGGATCAGTGATGCGGGCTGTATCGGACGGGGGGAGGGCCCCGGTCTGGGCGTGGGTGTTTTACGTTGTTTTCCTTCTTCCCCAGGTTATGTCGCGTGGATTGTGGGCCATTCCTTCATCGTTTGGGCCGGACGGAGAGCTGCAGCTCGAGCCCAGGGCCAACAGCTGGGCTTCCCGAAAGACCTCCTAACAGTGCGATGGTTGGGTTTTAAGGGATTTGGCTGGGGCGACGTGTGCGGGGTGATAATTCGGATGGTAGCAGGCGGGGCGAGGCCGGATATGCTAGTTCTGCACGCGGGGGGCAATGACCTGGGCCTCATTCTGCAACGTAGGTTGGTTAAATGGATGAAGCAGGACCTGAACAGGTTGTTCGATCTGCTTCCTGGGGTGATGCTGGTGTGGTCTGAGATCGTTCCGAGGCGTCGGTGGCGGCACGCGAGGGACCCGGTGGCCATCGACAGATGCAGGGGAAAGGTTAACAGCTTGATGGCAAGCTTCGTGAGGAAATTGGGGGGCGTGGTAGTGAGGCACGTAGAATTGGAAGGCGGGCTGCCGGGTTATTACCACACGGACGGCGTCCATCTCTCAGCGGTGGGTCTGGATTTGCTGAACTTGGGTTTGCAGGAGGGGATGCAGAGGGCTCTCTTTCTTCGGGGTGGCGGAGCTCGGACGGCTTGAGGGGTCAAGGTCCGAGCTTGTGGCGGGATAGAGAGCTAGGGAAGGCAAAAATAGGCTCCCCATGAGGAACGTGAGGAACATGAAGAATTGTGGTCACTGGTGGATGGTGGGTTTCGAGTCCTGGAGGTGGCTCAGAACCTGGTGGGGTAGGGGTATCTGGGTATACCCCTACCGTGGTTACTTATGGTTGGC